TTCATTATGAAAACTGGCTCCAGTCTGCTCACTGGGAGCAAATCTCTCATTCCAGAGGAACAAACTAAGTGATTCACTGCTTTGCAGGTACCAACAGCCATGACCTTTAATGTGAGTTATCCCATGTTGCACATTGAATCACTCGCATGGCCAGGAATGCATCACCATTGGAAGGTATCAAATCCCAAACTTGCCTAGAGCCCTGCCCTTGAGCAGAATCCTTCCTGGACCAGTTCCCCTCTGTTCAACTTGACCCAAGTACTCCATCATTGGAAAAACATGGACCCCAGAGATAAAGCATATCCATCTCAGCATTCCAGTGGAGGAAACAAAATGGCAGCCTCCTGCCAAAGAGTGGGAGAAGCCCCAGTGCGTTTTAGCCTCCATATTCCTCCCACTGCCCAAATCACTGGAGCCTCTACTCCCTTTCTTGTGACCTGGGAATGGGCTCCTGAATTTGGGGAAGAGCTTTCTTCCTGTCCCTAAATAACGGCACTGTTTCTTGGCATTTTTTGAGGCATAGCCTCTCAAGGCAACCCAAATGACAGAAGTGAGTAATGTGGCCGTGCTGAGGCTGTCAAGTGCTTTGTGACTTTCTAGCTTTGCAATAATGGATTGTATATCTTGGCAACGGTTCAAGGTGCTGATAGAATGATTCACTGCAATGTCTCCCTTTCAGGAGACATTGTCCTGTAAATACCTCGTCCTTAAAGCTGCAAAAGGTGTTCTTTTCAAAGCATGGAAGAGTGAGGATCATCTACTCTCAGAGAAATTGCATAATTTTAGACTTGGAAAGGGACTTTGGAGTTTATCTAGTCCAACCTCTGGCTTGAGGCAGGTTGTAAAGTGCCAGATGCAGCTGCAGCATCCTTGACAGATGGCAGTCCTGCCTCTCCTTAATCCTCCGGGGAAGGAGAGCGTGTCATCTCATGAAGCACATTGCTTCATCGTCTAGCAGCTTGTCCCTTTGGTTTCTCCTAATGGCTAGTCAAAATCCTTTCTTTGCAGTTCCCTCACTGAGCAGCAGAGAAGAAGCCAGCTGCACCTTCTTCATGGCAGCCCTGCAGATAAGACTGATACCACGACTTCCCCGGGCTGCATGTATCCCAGCATCTGCTGCCTGAGGCAGTTACTCCACTTTGCTTAATAGCAGGGCTGCCCCCACTCACCCTTCTAGTCACCCTTCTCTGGACATGTGCCAGTTTGTCCATGTAGAAAATGAGACTCTGATCTGGGCAAAGGGGTTGTGCACCAGAGTATGCCTCCTGATCAAAAGGCAAGCTCTGATCAGTAGCCTGTGCACAGCTTAGAACAGAAATAGTTTCTCCCACTTTAGGTGGCTACTTCCATTGCCGCTTGTCATCACTGGTGAGTGTGTGACACACTTGCACCTTGTGTTGGGATGCAGCAGACTGCCAGCTGAATCTGCTTGGAAGGCAGCAAGGCCGGGCCAGTGAATCATGCAGAGACACCCAACTGCCTCCTCTGTGGATGGGTGATCCAGGATTGCAGGAGTCTCTGAAATAACACATTTCGTGTGACACGTAGTGTGGGAAGTGTAGCTGAAATTGCAAAGGACATGCTTCACGGGTGGCTGGAGCCTTGTACTGGGGAGCCTTGGACTAAGGTGCTAGTCCTATGGTGGGCATGTCAGGAGTGGAGCCAGCTGGAGCCAAGGGTCAGACTAGATGGCCCAGGAGATCCCCTCTGACTCACTCTGTTTCTATGTGGCCATGAAGCTCATGGAGTGACTTTGGGCCAGTCACTCACTCTCAGACCAACCTACCTCACAGGGTTGTTGTGAGAATAAAATGGAGTGATGGAGATCTCTTTCAGTTCCTTACAAGAGGAGAATATGTGCAGTGTAATGAAAATGTTAATAATCCAGAGTAGAGCATCTGCCTTGCATTCAAGGGTTGCAGGTTCAGTCTCTGGCACCTCCAGTTAAAGAAAGATCAGGTGGCCGGTGATGTGAAAGATCCCTCTCTGCTCGAGACCTTGGAGGGCTGCTGCTGATCTGAGCAGACAGTGGCTGCATTCAGAGAACGTGATATCCTATGTTAAAGGTTGGGAATGGGTTGAGTGTGGGTTGTCAATAAATCATGGGTTGTTGGTGAAACCTGAGTTATTGCTAAAATGTGGGCTATTGTGTTGCACTAGCAAGCACTAGCATACCAGCACTAGCAAGCTGTGGCTTGTGAACCGCATATAACCGATGAAGAGAATCTGTGGTTTGTTATTGGGTTAGTTTGTTCACCACGGTGTGTTGTCTTGGCTGGGTTCAGATGACATAACAACCCACAATTCAACAACTGCACACACTCAACAGATTATCCTGACTTCTGAATCCATGCTTAATGGTTAAAAATGTAACCATTGTGAAAAGAGCTAGTTATGTTCCTGGTGGATCAGCTGATTTCTACAGGTCGCAGTATCTCACGTATATAATTTCATCCTGGATTATGTCGTTCCGCATATTTCAAAACCATCCGTGGGTCGGAGTGTGGGTGGAACGAACTTACTGCACACAGAAAATGAGAATGTCAGGGGAATGACTCTTTAAGAGTATCATTCTTTCTGGTTTGTTTCCCCTTCTGTTGGGTTTCCTTCAATACTCAAATGGCACTTCACTATTTTTAACTATTCATGTTAAAAATGTCTTGAGGGCAAGATTAGCTTTTGTTGCAGTGTTCCATCCCTTTAGATTTCTAACTGTTTCTCCTAAATTTTTGTCCCTTTATTTTAATATAGAAGCAACTTTGAAAACAAGAAAGCAGTGCAGCAATAATATTTTTGCAAAGACCAATATCCGCCTCCTTGTTCTAGTGGAAGATGAATACATCCTTTCCTTTCTGTCCTTCCCTGCTAACCCCAAAATTAATCAAATGTTGGGAGTATTCACTGCTTTTATAATGCTGTGGTGCTCTGCAACATCAGATGCAGACAGCTGACATATAGGATTGAGGGCCGAGGTTGTGCAGGAAGCGACGTTTGAAAAGGCATCACAGGAAAAGAGCCATTAATTTTACCTCTATCCCGTTTCCTTCTCTCATTTTGTCTTTTATAAGCAGGTTCAGAGGCTCATACTCAGGGAATAGGAAATGGGTTGTTATCCTGGCAGTGGGTTAGCAGGGATATGTGAAGCTCAGTTTCGGCTTCTCCCAGAACTGAATTTTTAAAATCTCAAGTTATTTCCATCCTGAGTGTTGAAGGCATTTGTGAATATTGGTCAATACTAAACAATGAACTGAACTGAAATTCTCATGCATCTGCAGTAGACAAATTCAATACATAATGCTATTTCCAGCATAGCAACTCTCGTTCAGCGCCACAAACATGGCTGAATACACAAGGATGCAAACCCAGACTTTCAAAACTCTGGATGGGTGAATTTGTTCATTGTGATTTCTCATGTATTTGCATATATACATCTTGACCTCTTCTGTGCCAGCTTGAAAGAAATGTGCAGATTTTGGTAAATTCTTCCTAAAAATAATCTGAACTGAAATTCTCATTAGTCCTTATGGTTTAGCAAGACAATATAGTTTATTTCCCATTATTCTCTAAGGCACAGTTGGGCAGCTTGTGGCCTTGGAGATATTTTGACCTACATGCCTCATCAGCCGGTGGTATAGTAGGGCAAGTAGCACAAAACATCTGGAGGGCTCCACATAACCAATGGGGCAAAACATCTGGAGTGCACCACATTAGCTGCCCCTACTCTATGGTTTTACAGAGCATGGGAAGAATAGGGGAATGATGATTACTATTCTCAAACTACAGGACTACACAAATCTCCATGGTACAGAAGCATTTTGAAATGGGTATAGAAGGCACACAAAGAGATTTGAGATTCATAGTGAGCTTCAAAGCATTTGCATATATATTTCCATTGAAATTGCAGTGGTGGCAGCATTGGGAGTAAATCACTATATTTTAAGAGCATTCCATTGCAGGGACTTTCTGTGTCTCATTATAACTGTTGCAAAGCACTCCAAGGCAGCCCTGCACAATCCCTCTCTTCTCTTCTCTCCTCCTCCTCCTCCTCCTCCTCCTCCTCCTTCTTTTCCTTTTCCTTTATTGGAAAGGGTTTGGTTCCTTCCCTTGTGTTTGTAGTACTGTAATACCACACTGATTCATGGAATCCTGCACCCTGCAGAACTAGGCTTTAGCTTACTTTAAATGCCTTTAAAAGGGGGGTAGATAAACGTGCAAGGTGGTCCATGATGGCACCTGGCTGCTATTTGGCAGTTCCAGAGTCAGAATGCCACTGACTGCAACTCTCAGGGAACAACAGCAAAAGACTTCTGCAGCCAGCTGGATGATCCCTCGGCCTGGTCCAGCAGGGCTGAGGCACATTTCTCATTCATCCCTAGCCAAAACTATGTATCTGTAGTTCCCACTTATCCCTTGGCTTTTCTCCCCTGAGAGATTTAGTAGTATTCTACCTCAACTTTGCATCTGTGTGATTTATGTAGATCCGTTGTGACAGATTTTTATCTTGCGTTTTTCCTCTTGTGAGAACCCCAGGGTAGCATACATAGTCATCTTCCACTCCATTTCATCCTCACAACAACCCTGTGAGGTAGGTTAGGCTGAGAGTGAATGACTGCCTAAAGTCACCCCGTGAGCTTCATGGAACTAGAATTCCGTCTGATGAAATTCCAGTCCTGTAGTCTAACCACCACACCGTACTGGCTTTCATAGACCCTTGAAAATACGCCTTCAAAGTAATGTTTAACTTAATCCAAACAAGCAGAATTGTTTTGACCAATTATTTAGCTTGGTCCAAGCAAACCTAGGACCACGGGGGATGATGGGAAGGGAGTGCTTGGAGAGCCAGTGAACAGAAGCTGCTAAATGAATTGCACTTGTGTTGATTTAAAAGATACATTTTGTTCAGTAGCATATTGCTCATCAAGATCTTTTTCAATGCAGAAAATGCAAGGCTTTTAAAAATGATGGTTTTCTTGCTTGCTTGTTTGTTTCTATTCCTGTAGAGGAGTTCTAAAATATCAAACTAACTTGAAGGAGCATCCGCCCGGGTGTTTTAATCCCAACGAGACAATTCAAGAGAACAGCCGGTTTGCAGATGGTTTTGAAAAGTCTCTCCCTGCAATTGCCCCGGAGGCTTTCCCAGGAGGGTTGGGCAAGCTGGAACCTCTTCTCAGAAGCAGCTTTGTTTGTACGGAGGAACCAAAATTCCAAGCCCATTTCCCGGAGGTTTGTATGAATGTCTACGTTTTACTCTGCTCACAATAGTGATACCTCTGACACCCATTGGCTTTGCTCTTGTGAAGGCACGGAACGCATAAACACTCGTGAACACAGGCAGTAAAGCCTTTACGATGTTTGCAGTGAAGCTTCTATGTGAAAAAGAGAAGTTGTTGAGCTGTGATTTCACTTTTACATGCAAGTATCTTTGTGGTCCAGGCAGATGTCCGGAAGGACATCTCGGAAGGTCAGGAGAGTGAGAAGGGGGACAATATGGCTGTGGTGTTCAAGTAAGTAATTTGCTACCTCAATTTATGAAAATAGCTTTTGATGGTCTAAAAGGTCCATCTGTTGATATCTGAGTGTGGCTTAACAGTAAGAGTGTTTGCTATTCTCTCTATTTCAAACTAACCTATTCCACAGGGTTGCTGTGAGGATAACAATGTACACAATCTTTAATTCCTTGCAAAAAAGGAGAGATAGGCATCCAAATCAAAACATGAAGGTCGCATCTTGCTTCAACATGCTTCTGTTTACCCATATACACGTGCATGCAAATTTAATTTATTACTTGATCGACTGCCTGAAATTCATACAATTGACACAACTCAGGCTTCTTTAGTGCAGAACAGACAAAAGATTAACAAGTGAATTGACTGAGAAATAAAAAAGAAACCAAAGCAAAGGGAGATGAAGGACTCACACGGCACCCACACGGCAGTCTTTTCAGTGCTAGGTGAAGAGCGTTTTATATTTCCAGGCATTTTTGGTTTTAAAGTGCACTGCCATGGGGTTGTCTGAAGCCCTCCAGATTTGAGGAGGATGGACACCTTATGGAGGGTGGGAAGAGCGCTGGGGCAAAAGTCACATCCACACCATGCCCACCCTGCAGAGCGCTCAGATACCCAGTTTGGCCAGGCCTGGCACCTCGGAGCATAAGGGAAGGGGGCCAAGGTCTCCCCAGCATTCCTCTTATCTTGGCAGCACTGGACTCCTCCACTCCATTTCAGCCTCAAGGAAGGCACCGGCACTGGTCTTTCTGCACCAGCTGTACGGTGGGAGGAAAGGGTGGTCTGGCGGGGGGCCGGCACTGGTCTTTCTGCACCAGCTGTACGGTGGGAGGAAAGGGTAGTCTGGCGGGGGGCCGGCACTGGTCTTTCTGCACCAGCTGTACGGTGGGAGGAAAGGGTAGTCTGGCGGGGGGCCGGCACTGGTGTGTCTGCACCAGCTGTACGGTGGGAGGAAAGGGTAGTCTGGCGGGGGGCCGGCACTGGTCTTTCTGCACCAGCTGTACGGTGGGAGGAAAGGGTGGTCTGGCGGGGGGCCGGCACTGGTCTTTCTGCACCAGCTGTACGGTGGGAGGAAAGGGTAGGCTAACGGGTAGCTGGAAAAAAGTCCCATCACCATCCAGACACTTGCTGGCTATGCCGTTATTGCTATTGCTGTTTATTATGCTATTTTCACCCTGTCTTTTTGCCTGCAAGGCAGCTTGCGTAATCCCCCCCCTTTCATTTTATCCTCACAACAACCCAGTGAGGTAGGTCAGGCAGATTGACAGGAACTGGCCGAAAGTCACTCAGTGCTCTAAGCAGGGACTAGAGTTCGGTTATCCCAAGTTCTGGGCCAACATTACAACATTACTGGCAAAGCTTGCTGCAATGTTACGGGCTAGTTATTTGAAGAACGGGGGGTTCCTTCAGTACTTGGCGGGCTGGCTGTTTGGACAACACAGAGATAGGTGAGTCCACAGTGCGTGACATCATCATCTTCATCACACTGCATTCATGTTCTGCCTTTGTTCCTCTTGCGAGGAACCCAAGGTGGCTTGCGAACCTCTCTTCCACTCCATGTTTATCCTCACAACGACAGACCTGACCAGTCCAGCATTCTCCAGCCAGTCCACCCCACTGGCTCTCTGCGTATTGGAAATGGGTTGGAAATGTACATACAATTAATACAGAAGAGAAGCAGAATAATTTATCCTTATTGGCTATGTCAGATCAGACAGAAGGTTGTTTTTGGCAGTGCTGCTGCTTTTCCTTTTGGTTTGGATTTCCTCTGGATTGGTTTCTTTCTAATTAAGAAAGTGATCCTCTGATCCATTGCAAAGGGGGCATAGAATAATTTGGATTCCCAGATCTGAGGCTGGAGTCAGAGCTTCGACCTCAGAGCCAGGAGTCTGCACTCCAATCCCCATCCCCTCCTCACCATTGATGCAAAAAAGAACCACTCAGCCCCTCTGAGGTGGGAAAACAGGGTAAAGAGGGCATCCTGGGCAGATGGCGAAGACCGAAGAGGCCAAGTCATAAGGTATTGGTTCTCTGGACTCCTCCGTTCCTCCAAATGCCTGCCTAGCTAAAATGTAGAGTGGGGAAATGGGGAATTGCACTTCCGCACTGGATGCTCCTGAGCCTCTGCATTTGGGGTCTTTCAAGCCATGAGGGTGTAATTGCTTACAGCTGTGCTCTTGGTGAACATGTACAGCCTAGGAGGAGCGAGATCTGGAGCCTAGCTCCAGGCAGGATTGCAGTGCCTCTGCAGCAGCAAACGGGACCGGGAGTTAGAAATTTTGCAAGTGCAACTGGGTTTCACAGCATGATTTGAACTTACCAGCCAGTAAGTTACCAGTTCATTAGCGATGGACTGTTTGCAGTCAGAATGTTCTTGCCATCCCCTGCAGACGTGGCTGTGGATCTCCGGCCCATTGTGCTTGTATTGCGCAGAGAGACTCTACCGCTACATGCGTAGCAGCAACAGACCCGTCACGATCACCGCGGCAATCAGCCATCCCTGTGATGTCCTTGAGATAAGGATGGTGAAGGAGGATTTCAAAGCACGGCCCGGGCAGGTGAGTTAACCATTGGATGATATTCTGAACCCTGATCTGGGCAGGTGAGTTAATAATTGGATGATGTTCCACACTGAAACCTAAACATGTTAGTTACCAGTTGAATATGTTGGGAGAAGCAGGAGGGAAGGAGATGGACAGGACTGGGGAATAGACATCCCGAGTGAACCACAGGCAAGGCTGGTGCTCAGGGACAGTGCAGAATGGCGCTGAAACCAGACGACCCATAAGAAGAGTGCTGCTGGATCAGGCCAAGGGTACCTCAAACCCAGCAACCGGTTGTTTCACATAGTACCTACCAGATGTTGCTGGGAGAACGAAGCAGAGCACTGGGGCAATTTCTTTCTTCCATGTTCATGTCCAGCAGCAGGTAAATGCCAGCCTTCTTCAAGGACACATCACTCACTGTGAAGAGTGTGAAGTCCAGTTTGACCTGGGCATGATTCTTCCCAAACTGGGGCTGGCCTAGAAGATCTCAGCAGAAGACATTCCTTCTGGATGTTCAGGGTTTACATCCATGAAAGTGGGCAGCAAACCTTCCATTATTTGAACTGGGGTACTTCTGTGTGTGTGTGTGTGTGTGTGTGTGTTTGGGGTGTGTGCATCAGGTTTCTATAGTACCTGAAGCTCTGTTGTGTTGCCAGGTGCCATTTTGATTTCCCTGCAGTACTCCCTCTCAAGGGGCATTTGGGGAGCAAATGTGGCTGCCACTGATTTGGAATGAGATGGAGAGGGTAGGATAAAATTCAGTGCTTCTGCCTGGAATTCCCATTTAGTGTGTGGAGTGAGAGGGGGACAGTAAAAGATAAGAAGCAGCCTTTCATGTCAACACAGACATTTTTTTTAATTTTTTTTTATTCTTGGGGCAGGGTAGGGAATTACTCCTCCCCTGTTGAGGCATGGTGGTCTGAACTGAATTGGGCTGCAATATTAAAGATTTTTATTTGGGGCACGTGGGACAAAATAAAAGATCAACTTCTGCTTCACAATTCAAATAAAGCATAGTTTGATTTCCAAGAAGAGTCTGTGCCTTGAACTTGCCGCAAGGGGTTGGAAGGGGGAAGTTAGATTGTCTGAACAATTCCAAAATTAGAATTTGCACTGATACAAAACTTCTTCCTTAACATCTCCTTTTTGTGGCTGATCTGTTTCAGTATGTCATTCTACACTGTCCCAGCGTCTCATCTGTTGAAAGCCATCCCTTTACCCTAACACTGGTAAGGAAACCTTTTAATTGTTCATAATGTTTTAGTTTCCATTTCCATAAATGGACATTCCTTCCTTTCCCAAGGAGGTGGGAAGGCATAGATTCATTCAGGTAGCCAGTCATGAATAAGAATGGTATTATACATTGGCATTGTGTGTATGTGTGTCCAAAGCAATTCACACACATTCTGTTGGGTAATCCTTACACAGATTATTTAAGATCTTAAATATAATAAATGAAATCGGGTTGGTTGGCATCATCCTCTTATTATCCCTCATGCTATTTAACATAGACGTGAAACCACTGGAAAAGGTTATCTGGAATGTGAGGGTCACACCGTTCCTTCAAATCCAAGGCAGTGTTTTAGGTTCCACGTCAGCATCTGATATTAGCACTAGATTGGATGAGAGCAAAGAAACCGAAACTTAGTCCAGATGAAGGAGAGGGAGCGGTGTTCCTGGTTAGTCAAAGACAGACCAGGAGTAGGAATTCAGCCTGGTCTGAATATTTTCCATGTTCCTTGAAGATTTGGGTTCACACTTCGGGCAGATTCCTGGGTTCAGTCCTGAAACGGGCTGGCCCAGTTTCAGTGGCAGGCAGGAGTGCATTTGCAAAGCTGTTGTGGGCCGGGATTTGGTCCTGGTGATGCATGGATCAGCTGCATTCAGTTTAGCTACTGCAGTGGATGCTGCCTGGGGCTGCTTTCCAAAACTGTTTGGAACTCCAGCTGGTCCAAAATGCTGCAGCCAGACTGTGGCTGCTTGCAGCAAACACCTGACTCCCGTGGCTTCACCAGCTGCTGGCCTATTGCAGGCAAAGACTTCAGAGTACTGATTATTTATGCTATCTATTTATTTGATTTATATCCTGCTTTCTTTTCTTTTTTTTTGCGAGTAACTCAGAGTGTCTTACATCATTCTTCTCCTGTTCTCAGTCCTATCTCCACAACAACAACCCTGTGAGGAAGGTTGGGCTGAGAGCCTGTGACTGGCCCAAAGTCACCCAGTGGGCTCCATGGCTGAGCGGGGACTAGAACCCAGATCGCCTGACTCCCAGTCCCATGCTCTTAACCACTACACCAGTCTTCTCCAACCTTATACCTTGCAGGCATGTTTGGCCTGCAACACCCAGAATTCCCAGTCAACGGCCCTGCTGAATGGGAATACTGGGAGTTGTGGTCCATGTGCCTCTGAAGGCCACCAGATTGGGGAAGGCTGCCCTACACCGCAGTGGCTCCCCTTGGGATCGGGCTACTTGAAAGACCTCCTTTCCTCTGGGTTGCAAGAACTTCATGGGCACGGTTGCAAGAACCATCACAGGGACAGTTGGAGGGCCAGCGAGAGAGGATCTTTTTGGCTCTAGCATTCCTGCTGAGGAGGCTGCTTAGGGTAGGTTCTCCACCGTTGCCCTACCACCAACAGGCCAAGACTGTTTTGTTTTGTTGTTATTTCTGAAAGGGGTTTCAGTGGTGTGGACATGCTTTATTTCCTGTAACATTTTGTTTGTTCAGATGTTTCTTTTTAATTATGTTTAGTTTTATCTCAGTTTTATTAGCGTTAGTCACACTGAGTACCATTTTTCGTGCAGTCCTATAGATTCTGGTGATGCTGTGAAGGGGTTGACTCTGTGTGTGTGTGTGTGTGAGAGAGAGAGAGCGAGAGCGAGAGAGAGAGAGGGAGCTTGTGTGTATGTGTCTACACACACTATGAGCTCAAAAGGTGATCTTGGGAGAGGTGAGGACGGAACTGTGGTCTTCCTGACTCGGCTCAGCCTCACTATGTTCCACAAGAAAGAGCTCTTCCTCTTTTATATGGATATGCAGAATAAACCCTTATATTTACATAGCTTTATGTTCTTTTCTAGCCCTCATGCATGTCCACATCTTCCTATTTCCAAGAAGTAAAACATCTACTTCCAAAAGTAGGTTAAGCAGGACATGGTGGAAATGTTCCCCACCAACCTTTACATGATGTTCTACTTTTATAAATATCAAAAACCTTCTGTGAGTTGCTGCTTCTGAATATGGAAGTTCTGTGGTTCATTCTGTGAATGTATCTGATGTTTGAGGCCAGTGCTAATATCTGTCACTCCATCTAGTCTTTGAATAATTGGGGCCTGTAAAAAACATTGCAGGAGCTTTTCCCAGGTACTGCTGTCACCTGTCCCCTCACCAGAAAGCTTCCCAGGCAGTGTTCATGGCACACTCATAGAAATGTTTAAATAAATAAATAAATAAATAAATAAATAAATAAATAAATAAATTCAACATGCTCAGGCCTCACTGTCCCCCCACACCCACACCCACAATTATTCTTGTACTTCTGCAAAACTTTGGGTTTCCCCTAACCTGTAGATGCCTTGCTCTCTTGTGGATGGATGTTTGCCCTTTTGGCTGCAGAAGATCTCAGAGAATGGAGATCACTACCTGAATGTCAGATCGTAAGACAGCCCTGCAGTGAATGGCCAAGAAAGGGTACATGCATCATCCAATAAAGGGACAGTATTTGTATATTTTTGCATCTGCTAATTGGTGTTCATGGGTGCAAATTTATCACAATTTGAATAGAAATATGTGCATCTTACCATACCTGGAAATACTGTGACCTGTGCACCTTGCTCTGTCTGCTGCCCATGTTCTTTTGATGGGCAGCTTCAAAGCTCTTCCTTCAGATGGTTCCTTAACTTTCGACCCAGCTTGCATTGGACGCAAGATAAAGAAGAAAACCTTCTAAACAGTGAGCAATATTCCCCCAGTCCTGCCAATCAAGGATTGTCCTATGGACTTCGATGCATCTTTGTTGAAATCTATGCACAATTATGCCCAAGAATAGCGACCTATCTTATCATGCATAAACTATGTGGTAGTACAAGTTGCGTGTGCACCTATTGCAGTGGATATATTCAGACCTTATGCTAGAAAACTGGAATACTTTCTTTCATTTTACTATTCCTATTTTTCATTTGCCTTTGGTTTGACGTGTGAAAATCCACAATAAGAAAGGCCACACCAAGGTGGCAGAAGTGGTGAAGGCCATTATCACTGCACACATCAACCAAAATAAATGATCCCCAACCCTTCTTTCCTTCATTCTTTCTTCCCCATGCTTCTCTGGGGCCCTGCTAATATGTGGCCAGGATCCGTCACAGAGAACTGAGCTGCCATTGGGAACTTGCCACCGTCCCGCTGAAGCGGTGTGGCTGATCTAGGCTAGGGCTGCGGCAGGGGCAAGCAGGTGGATTCCCCTTCTCTCTGCACCATGGTCCCAGTCTGGATTGCCTGCCTCTGTGGCTTTCCTTTAAAGAAATGCCACGGCTTGTTCTGTGAACGGCATTTCATCTAGCCTGGGCCCCTCTGTGGTTTCAAATCAGGCTCCGTGAGGGTTCGCAGCACTCCTCTGGCACTTCTCCTCCTCTCGAGCATGATGCTAACTATGCTGGTTCTCCCCATTGTGCATCTGCGAATGCGCAGCTCTGGCTGCCAGAAAAGGCCTCCATGTGCTCGGTAATCTTGGAGAGAGAAGCTCATCTAGCTGGGCTGGGACACAATTGTTACATAGCAGAGATGTAAGTCGGGGTGGAAGGCAGAACCCCTAAAGAATGGGTTCCCCCCAAGCCTTGCTTGACATGTGAATGGGTCTGAATCCCAATCGCTGGGCGACAAGGGTAGGCAAAGGCAGTCAGCTTCAAATCCTGCCTGTGCACTTCCCAGAGGCATCTCGTTGGCCGCTCTCGTTGACTTAGACGGACCTTTGCTCTGGTCTCGCATGGCTCTTATGTCCTTCCGACTCTTACACCCCACTTTTCTAAGATTTCACTTCGACACGTCTGCTCGCTCACTGGCCCAGTGAAGCTTTTTCCATAAAACCTGTATACAAAGGGCAAGCCGCATCCTGGGACATCCTGAAATGCAGGCAGTCCATGAGTGCCAGCAAAGCAATAAAATAAGTTCAGCAGAGAAATGCATGAAAACTGATCGAAGGTTCACGAAGGTTCAGCAACATGTCCCATGACTGTGATTATATTTAGAACTCAAGCAACGTCTCAAGCTATTTCTATCCCCTTAGCAAAATCTTCTTTATTTGGCTCATCTCCATGGCCTCTGCTAATGTCATCTGTCCAGTCCCACTACGGATGCAACTCTACCTTTGTTTGTGTGTATGAGAATGTCTATTATGATCAAATCCATCAAGCTCAGTCACTTTCTCATTTTTTCTAAAGTCAAGTTTTTTTTAATCCTATTTCCACACTGATTTAAAGGCAGTAGCAGCAGTGAAAAAAATCCCTTCTGCATGGAAAGACATATGCATTTTAATGCACATTTCTCAAAACATATGCATTCCGCACATATCTTTCAAATTATGTGCATTTTTGCAGGCAATTTCCTCTAAAATATAGCATCCTTGTGCACATTTTTCTGTAAGATCTGGATTTTTATGTGTCCCTTTCTAGTGATATATGCCTTTTTAATGTGCAAAGTTTGATTGCAGACCTCCAAAAACTGTGGATATTGTACTGCTATAGTTTGCATGGATAGGCTCATTTGTCATTTGCTAACTTTAAAAAAAGGCAAACGGAATTAATTCCTTCCCCATGCCTAATATTTATAGATCTGTCAATTACAGCATTTACTTTGGCTACCCTTCCTCTCATGCAGTCCCAGTCAGTCTTGCTTGCTTCTGCATTCAGAGTTTTCAGATCTTGACTTGTTTCTCTCCAAGGAATTGGGTCACTTCTCATCAAAGCTAAATGAATTTCTTGCCTGTTTGCCCCAGATGAATTCCATAGGTACAGCATTCCCAGCATGGAGAGGACCCTACCATGCCTCTGCTGCTATGTGCTGGCAAGTCCTCTCTGACTTATGGTGACCCTATGAATGACTGTCCTGTGATTGATTCCGAGCCGTGGAGGCTCATGGGAGACCAGCCAAGAAGGTGTGGAAACCATGCATGCATAGAAACCATACGGATGTGTGAATCTGGGACCCAGGATGAGATATCATGCCACACGGTT